TGATGTTGAAGGTCCCATGGGCTACAAATGAATAGGTCTCAAATGAGATAACAAGTCAAACCAAAAGCTAAGTCATAATCCAATGCTTCCTTTTTGTTAAAACCAACAAAAAACGAATCAAAGTAGAAGGCAACAACACGGTTTGGAAAAGAGAAAAATCAATAGATCAACATCATTTTGAAAGAAAGAAAAACAAAACAAAGTAAAACCAACATCGTCCGGGTTCCAAGATCAACCTTCTTCGCAAACATGGATCGATTCTCGTTCAGCTCATTCACTTGTTTTCTTCTTCGTCTTGTCTTTCTTTGCGATTGTCTTTGCAATAGCAACCTTCTTCCCCAGAGTCGTTCTCGTCGAAGTCCTTGCAGACTTAGCCTTTGGTTTCACAATAGCCTTAGCTTTAACAATAGCTTTGAGTTTTGCAACAGTAGCTTTTGGTTTGGCGGTTATAGCTTTGGCCTTAATTTCATACAAAAAAATAATTCAATGTTGTCATCTTCTGCTTTTGCTCCAACAGATCCAAGGATGTACTTGATGGTTTTGGCGGAGGATAGTGTGGTACGAATGGTGTAGCACAGTTGTTGTTTGTTTGGAAACGTAGATTGATGAACAAGGTTGAAGGAACGATGAGGGCGAGGTTAAAGATGATGATGGTTAGTGGTTAAGGAGCGGTCGATTTTGGTGGAGGAATGGAGAGAGGAAGGGTCGTGCGGCGAGGTTTTGAAGGTTGAGGGTTCCGTGATGGAGTTCGAAGGAGGGGAAAAAAGAGGGGGAAATGGTGACGGAGAATGGAGGTTTGTGGCTAGAAGACGGTGAATGGGAGATTAAGGGTTTGACGGCGGAAAACAGAAATGGAAGAAAGAATGTGTTAGGGTGAAACTGGAGAATCACGATTTGTGAGGGTTTACGGTATGAGTGATTTTTGGGAAAGAAGAAAGTATGGCGGCCGAGAACTTGAGGTTTGTGAGAAAATGGAGGGTTTGGTTGGGTTCGGAGGAAGGAGAAGAGGAGTTTGGGGTTTGTTCGAAGGAGGAAGACGAAAGGTGAGAGGAGAGAATGGAGGGTTTTCATTCTGGGTGAGGGAAGGAGAAGGTGTTTCGGAGAAGGTGATGACGAAAATGAAGGAAGGGAGAAGATGAGGAAAGAGTGAGGTGGCAGCTAGGGTTTTCGATTGGGGAAGATGATGAATAGTGTCTAACCCTAAATCCCCTATTTATCCTCTCAGCTTTTCTTTTGTTTTTTATTACTTTTTTCTATTTTTTTTATTTTCTTAATTTTTCTGTTTTCTTAATTGATTAATAAATCTAATTTCTAATTAAAAAATCTAAATCTATTCTAATTCTAATTATAATTCTATTCAATTCCAATTCTATTCTAACTAACTCAAATTCTATCCTAATTAATTAATTCTATTCTAGTTAAAATTCTAATTTTTATTTCTAATTCTTAAATTAATTAACTAATATTATTTCTAAATTGATTTCTAAATATAATTTCTAATTAAAAACCTATTCTAATTCTTAAAATCTATTCCTAATTCAATTCAATTTTCTAAAATCTAATCTAAATTCTAATTCTATTTTCAATTTAATTCTAATTAATTAATATTACAACCTTACTATTATATTATGTTAACATAACTAAACCTTAAACTAATTATTAACTATTAAAAACCTAATATTAAAAATAAATCACAAAATGCAACGAAATAAAAAACGAATGAAAGGGTCGAATACCGAAATGCTTGAAAACGAGAAACTAACACACCAAAATTATCAGCACTGACTAAACCACCAGGAAGAGTACGACCTTTGTTCGATTTCGAAATAAAACTTATCATCTGAACTGGTTTAAACTGTCAAAAATACGAACAAAGCGATTGTAATTCCGATAAACCCATTCTGGCTGATAACATGGACAATATGCGAGAAATGATCGACCTAGATGATATGCAGATGAATGCGAAGCAAAAGGCAGTCAAAGTTAGAAAAAGTGAGGGCAAATTTTGGGGTGCAACAAAGTGCAGAAAAAAATTCAATAGAAGTTGGATGCATTCAATGGTTGGATCAGATAACTCCTAAAAATTGGATGCGTGCAATATTCAGACTAGATAACTTCTTACACCAAAATTTTGGGTTTGTTGTATTATTGTTTTTCAATATTTTGTGCAAACAATATAATTTTTAAAAATATCATGTTCACCTCGATTTTTAAATAAACTGAGGGGATAACTTAGAGTGATAATTTTAGATATTGATTATTATCCTTAAACAAATTTTTGTCGTTCATTTCATGATTATCAACGCTCAAGACACTACCATTAGTGATCCGCGTGAAACCTAAAAAATTTCTATTATAAATGCCTTCTGATATCTATAATTGATAAAGAAACGATATGAAGCGCTTGAAACTAACTCCAACCCCCACTTTAACTTTTGCCATTAGAAGCACTCTATGATCGATTGCAAATGCAGAAAATTGTTTGTGTTTTTAAATATTCATTTGAGCAGAAAATCATTTATTTTTATATCTTTTTTTTCTATTTTTTTTTAATTTTATATCAGAAATAAATACTTGCAAGGTGAAGCATTTGATCTTGCCCAAATATTAAGGAGTCGAAGATCCAACATATGATCTTCAAAGATAAAATAATTTTTTATTTTATTATTCTTGTAAACAATGTAATATTATGGGTAAACATTGTAGTTTGTAGTAAACAAATTATTTTTATTTATTTTTTGTGTAAACAATGTAACAAATTTCAATTAAATAAATAATTTATCTTACCCCTCGATTTTACTGTAAAACGAGATGTATGAGGCACTAGTTTTGTAAATAATAAAAATGCAGATGTTGGGGTTCAAATCTATCGGCAAATAAATTTACACCTCGGTGTTTAAATAACCAAGGTGATAAGACGTTATTTTCGTGACGCCCTTCGTTACCTCGCTACTGCAGCCGAGGTAAAATACATTTCGCGTCCGATGTTAAAAGCAGTTTTTTGTAGTAGTGTACACTGCCATGCTTCATTATCATTAATCTCTAATAATCTAAATCATTCTATCATCATATAATACATCATGCAACAACAACAATAATATAGTTTCAACACATGTTCACATAATAACAACACAATTTCAACACAACATTAACTTCATGGATTAGAAACAATAACACAACAAGAAATCAGGCATCAAAGAAACAACAACTACAACATAGTTTCTTCACATATTCTCATAACACCAACACAATATCAATACACAAAAATACAATATAACATACAACATCAACACAACATAACATCATAGGTTAACAACAATAGCACAAGGCATGGCAAGAATAATGTTGCAATCATCAATTTCACAAACAAATAAGAGCTCATCAAAATCCTAAACCCAATTTCTTGTAAAATCTTTCCACAAAGGCTATACTAACTAAAAACACACCTCTTAGAAAGGATGATGATGATGAAATTGAAGTGAAATGAGATGAAATTCTTCCTTCTTCTTTGATCCAAGCTTTTCTCTTTTCTCGTCTTTTTCTCCTCTTCTCTTCTTTCTCTTCCTTATCTCTTCTTTCTCTTACTATCTTTTTACACAAATGAGAAAATGAAGGAAAAGAAAAGAGAAGGAGAAAAAAAATAGTAAACTTGTTTGTCTTCTAGTGAGTCCAATTAAGCATTGACCATTATACCTTTGCCAAAACCTTCAAACCTCCAACATGTTACTCTTTACTAATTTAATGCCCTTTCTTACCAACTAGTAAGGATTAGAGAATTTTATTAACACTTAATCTCTTCTTAACGCTCGAATTACTCACTTTGTCCCACTTAATAAAGAAATGAGTATTTAAGAGAATATGAAACTAGTGTTTAGGGTTATATGTGATATGATTAGCATGTCAACGGGCAGGGGCGGAGACGGCTTTTACCTCCCCCATAATCAAACTCAAATTTTCGAACAATCCTTGTTTCCAGCCTCGATCTCTAATGGGAATGAAAAATTAAAACTCAAATTCGTTCCAAACAGGTTTGGGTTGGGTTTGTGTTAAGAATTGTGGTTTTAGGCCTAAGATATCCGTACAAAACAGGTTTTATAGGGTTGAAGTCCAACTATATTTCTTAACATAATATCAGAGTTTGATTTAAGATTCGGTGGACCATCCGTTCTTCTAGCCCCGCCACCATCCATGTAGTGGAATCAATTTTTTTAATAGAAATATTCATTTTTCCCAATATCAAATTGCATTACAATTAACAAAAAAAAATCTCAAAAGAATTTTCAACATACATTTCAAAATATCAAATTTTTGACCATATATTTAATATTTTTAATTATCAAAAATAAATAATAAACTCCATAATAAAATAAACGGAATGAATACTAGTGTCCTCATTACTCGACTCGTCTCCATATTTTGTAATCGAGAAAAACTTAAATTCAGTCAAAACGAGTTTTCTCTCTCAAATTCGAGGTGGATTCGAGTGAGTCTTCATGGTAAGAGTTATGTTGTCATGTCTAAATATGATATCAACTTGGACAACTTATTGTGTCATTTAACATGACACGTCAGCACCACCAAAATCTTCTCAAACTTTTGAGATATATGTGTAAGAAGCTAAAATTAATTTTAGTTTAGTCGTGAAATGTTTCTAATGGGTTATACTTATCTATAAATAAAAATCGTAAAATATGTGTATGAAGACTTTTTTTTAAATAGCTTAAAAACAATCAAGATTAATTCCATGAGATATAGAGTAGATTACCATATTTGCGTTTAGTTGTGTGTATAAAAAAAAGGAGAAAAAGTAACAGTATTAACTAACTATTGACCACAACCACTTGTTAATAAATAAAGAGGCTAGAATTTTGAAATGATATCAAGACACTGGATTTCATTAGTAGCAGAAAATGTAAACAGGAAATCAAAACCTAAAATTTCTAAAAAAAATTGTTTTACATCATTATGACATAGTCATAGAAGCAATCCAAATGAGAATTTCATGAAGTCACCAATGCAAGCCAAAGAGGTTCACCCCAATTTACCAGCATTTCATTGTTTTCATGTTTACCTATTTCTTTGCATCTTCTTCTACTTTCCCTCTCATATTTTTCTATTCTCACCTCGAGTGTCTGTGTCGGAGTCTGTATTTCATATGTCTCCCCCTTTTGGTTCTCATTATCAATAATGCATTCTTCATAGGTCTCCCTCTCCTTGTTCTCATTATTCATAATGCATTCTTTCTGAGAGGTCTCTTCCTCCTCATTCTCTTCAACTTCATTTGTGTATTCTTGTTCATCATCCGCGTCGTTCCAAAAAGAAAGACGAAGACGACCGTTACTTCTCTCGGCTTGAAAGCAAGAAACGCTTGATGGAACTTTTGTTAGCTCAATAACCAACCTTCCATTTTCTCTATGTGGTTTCGCTCTTAGAGACTCTAAGCCTCTCATACTCTTCAAAGGTGGTGGATAATTCTTGGTTCTCACTTTCTCACTCTTTTGCTCCTTTGTATCCAATTTATCACAAGGTGAGCTTGTTAAAGAGAAAAAGTCAATGTTGCTTTCTAAAATATCAGCACCTGTTTCGTTTCCTAGATTCTCAGTGCACAGCTCTAAACTCTTGGAACTAAGTTTCTGCCATGGAAGTTTCACATTGGGATGAACATATGTTGATTTGGAAAGTGATTGAATTGAACCCCAACTATCTTCATTGGATTTGAAAGGTAAATCAATAGGTTGATTTGTGAGTGGTTTTGGAGAAGTCAAACGAAGATTGTGTATTCTTGATTCAACAAGGTGTGAATCAAGACTTGAAGGTAAACCGTGGCAAACTATTGTAGCCATTTGGTAGGAAAACAGAGGAAAACAGAGGAAACAGAGTACTCTGTTTTTGTGAAGAGATGTGGTAGAAGTGAGGGGTGGGACTATATTTGTAGTACCAAAAAAGTGGTGAGGGACATGTCATATCATGTAGAGAGATTTTGAATGGTGCCTTTTTGTAGCACTATGTTATATAATTCTTAATCCACCACATAATACAAAAGTGATTATAATGACATTTTCAAAAATGAGAAAAATGGGAAAGGGAATATCCTCTTTCAGAAATTGTTGTTTTAATAGATTTTAAATTGAATCTATTAATAAAGTTGTATCATCATAAAGTTGAATCAGACATGCTAATTGAATCTATTAATGTACAAAGGGTTTTAAACTTTTCTGCAAAACTACCTCCTAACTAATTACTATTCTTGAGGTAAACAAAAACTAGTAACTATTCAATTCATTTTAAACATAAACATAATTGAAATAATTCATTGTACATTTAAATTTCAACTAAAATTGATTTTATAAAACCTAATCATTCAAACTCGGATTTTGTCACTGAGATCATGAAGCACACACTATAGAGTCAAAACCTATGTTGGTTTCTTATTCTACAATTATAAAACATAAAAGGAATAGAGAGAAAATTTCAGCCCACAATATTTGACAAAAAGGGTTGGTTCCTATTTATTTCTATCCAAAAAGAATGAAAAGAATGTTGTTAGCAACAAAAACAAGACCAAAAGGGTGTTTTACTAATTAAACCATGTTAAATTTATGACATAATAATTAGTGTGATTGGTGCATGTTGGAAAAATTATATACTATATTCATATCAAATTGGACAAAAATGGGACCCATGGAAACGTTATTCCACTATTTCATTTATTTTATACTAAATAGAAAGATATGTGTATTTTCGAGTTTCATTTCAAAATTTGATATTTGTTTTAATTAGTAATTGAATTTTAGTCCCTTAATAAAATTCCTATTCAAAAAGAGTATTTAGGCTGAGTCCTATTCTTTTTATGCAATTTTACCTTAGATTATTTGAGATTATAATTTGAATAGTAGATGTATTCAAATCTTACAAAAGATCGAACAAAATAGAAAATGATATTCCACACCAACAATCAATCTAGCTAATTTTCAAGAAAATTCATATAAAAAGCTAGATAATCAAAATTGGAGTGGAAAATATCATTTAAAATAGACCATTTTCAAATCAAAAATTTAATCTCCCAACAAATATCAGAGAAACTAATATGCACAGAATTGAAAATAAAATATTTCTAGCTTTCCAAATGCTCCAAATAGACGAAAACCATATCGAACACAACCTTGACTTGTCAGTATTTCCTCTACCATTATCGCACCAATTGACGAAGAAAGTCCAGCAATACCCATCAAAATTCGTATTGATACCACACCACCGACCTACGAGATGCCAAATTGTTTCCGCCAAAGGACAAAGGAACAAAAGATGTAACATATCTTCCTCCACCACTTTGCACATCACACAAAATTTTTCAACATTTGGAACTCCTCGCTTCAATAGCTATTATATTACAAAATATTCTCCAACCAAATATTTTGATTTTTGTCGGAATCTTGATCTTCCATAACAGAACAGATGCTTTAGTTTGATCTGGATGAACCAATTGTTGAAACCTATCTTTCAACAAAAGCTTATATACTTCTCTAACTTTGAAGACCTGCTTGTCACTAATATTCCAAAAGACGCAATCTGGCTACGTCGAATCCGGAACAGTAGTTGCGATTAAGCTCCAAAGTTCCTGCACTATCTCCTATTCCACCAGAATAACATTGTTAGATAACCCTAAGTCGCCCCACCGCCAAGCATCGTTCACATAAGAACCCATGGAAAACACCGAGCATTTTTTGATGTTGCAACTGTAAAAAAGAATTCTGAGTTGGATAGCCAATGAAACATCGTTCAACCAATTAGTCGTCCAAAAAGGAATCGATTTCCCATTTCCAAGCTTATGTTTGATTGTACCTATAAAAGAAAAACCATTGTTAGCAATGATTGTCCCTATCTTGAGGAGATCCTTCCACCAAAAGGAAGTCGTTCCCTCCTCATTTCTTTCCTCCGCCAGCACCTTACTCTCGATAAAATTGCTTCTCCCTTTTAAGACCTCCTTCCATAATGACCTCTTATTGTCCAAAATCTTCCACTTCTACTTAGCTAGAAGTGCATTATTGAAATCCGCTAAATTGATAACTCTTAACCCGCCCTCGACCTTCGGTCTGCAAACTACCTCCCAACAAAACCAATGAATTTTAGATTTATTCTCGTTGCCTCCCCACAGAAAACTCTTACAAATCTTATCTATACGATTCAAAACTATCATATGAGCTATATAAAAAGAAATCCAAAAAAATCGATAAACTTGGTAATACCAAATTAATTAGTGTAACCTGACCCGCCAATGAAAGAGATTTACCTCTCCATCTTGTCAACCTGTTAGAAAATTTGTCTACCAAAAAGTTTCAAGATTTGATTCTACGGGGATTGCAACCAATGTTAATTCCTAAGAATCGGAAAGAAGAACTATCAATTCTACATGAAAGAAAATTCGAAGCAGAATCCAAAAAATGAGCACGAACATTGATTCCCATAATCCTGCTCTTGTGAAAGTTGACCTTCATCCCCGAAATGAGTTTGAATCCCCTAAGGATGATAGTTCTACTCCAAAGTTTTTTCCATCTGCCTTCTCCTAAGATGAGTGTATCGTCGACAAATTGAACCAACTCAACTGAGGTGTTGTCATCCATTCTAAAGCCTTTGAAATCATCATTTCCAACTTCCTTGCCTTAGACTACACTCTGCTTCGAAGTCCTTTGTTGGGATACCGTTAACCAAAATTGAAACATGACATTTAACAATACAAGCTTCCATCCACATTCTCCATTTCACACCAAAGCCCATGATTCCCATTAAAAACCAAAGAAAAATCCAATTGACGCAATCATACGCCTTCTCAAAGTCAACCTTGAACAACAAGCAATCTCTATTCTCCATGGTCGCCATATCAAATATCTCGTTATCTATAACAACCCTGTCCAACATTTGCCTTCTAGGAACAAAAGTCAATTGACTATAAGAAATGATGCCTCTAATGACTCTCTTCAGCCTGTTCGCCAAAAGTTTTTCCATAATTTTATACAAACTTCCCACCAAGTATATCGGTCTATAATCCCCAAGATTTACTGGAATATCCACCTTATGAATAAGAGTGATAAAATATGACGTAATGGCTTTAGGAAGATAAGCGTGATGATGAAAGTCTCTTAAAAAAATCGAAATGTCTTCCTTTAAGAATGACCAACAATTTTTTATGAACACAAAATTGTATTTGTCGGGACCCGGACTTTTAGAATCGTCGCAACTCCAAACTGCCTCTTTGATTTCGAATTCGGAAAAATGCGCCTCAAGAAAATCAGAATCAACCTTTGAAAGAGCCTTTAAATCACAGCCAGTTAGATCCGGTTTGCACTGCTCTAGTTCAGAATACTTCTTCATGAAATAACTCATCACCTCTTCCACAGAATCCACCCTCCCAATGCCTGAGTCCACCAAACCGATGTAATTCCTTTTAAGCCTTCCTTTTATCTCATTGTGAAAAAATTTAGAGTTTCCCTGTTCTGCCTTGAGACCAAACTAGTCAAACAGCCTCTTACTCCATTTTATATATATAGTATGGCTCATGTAAAGATAAAAGGAACACAACAAGGACTCAAGAAATTAAAGTGGAAGCTTCAAATAAGTTTTAAGCTTAACTGTTTATCGTGGGAAGGTCGTCTCCGCGATATAGTTTAGGGGTATTATTGTAAACTGAGTCGTAGTATTATATATATTGCTTGGTACACTATAACCCTAATTATCAACAAAAAAAAATAACTATAAATGCTTTATATTTTTAGAGGTAAGCATTATTGGTCAACTGCATTAACAAAGATTCATTGTCTTTTTTTTTCTTTAATCTTCTATACTTTTTGTTGTTCTGACAATTAGTATCAAATGATAATTAACCTTGTGCGAAATTCAAGGTGACGTAGTTCGACGACATGAGTAATTTTTAATTATGGCATATGTGGGTTAAGGATATGTTGGCTCATTAAGTTTACAAAAGGCACTGCATGAGACGAAAGTGAATGGTATGAAAGATAGTGATTGGATAGAGATAACGAAGATGGTCGCGGGATTGATTCGTCAATGTGTTTCGTATGAGGTGATGTGTCATATCCTGGACCTAACAACACCAAAGGAGGTTTGAGATAAATTAGAGAGTCAACATATGTCAAAGACTTTGATGAACAAATTATTTATGAAGCAGCAATTATACGGTCTGAAGAAGTAGAAAGTATCTAATTTGCAATAACATGTAATGTCTTTAACAACATAATCATCGATCTCATTGGGCTTATGGTGAATATTGGAGACAAAGATAAGGAAAATATCTTGTTGTGGTATTTACCATGTTCGTGTGACCATTTTACGACTAGTCTCGCCTATGGGAGTCACACTATTAGTCTTGATATGATTACTACTACAGTTTTGCCTCATTCTTAAAGGAGAAAAAGAGTAAATGAATGACCTCAATGTGACAATTTGTATGTGAAGGGGGTCAAAATCATGGGCGAAACAATGGTAAAGATAATTCTTAAAATAAGAGGTCTAAATTCAAGAATCAAAAAATAATTGAGTGTTTTAGTTGCAAAAAAGATTGGGCATTGAAAGAGAGATTGTCCAAATAGAAAACATGGTTCACTTGTTTATGAAAATGTAGTTTAAACATGTGCTAGTAAAAGAGTACAAATGTGCATGGTATCCCTAAAAAAGTAGGGGATACTCAAAGATTTTAGTAGGTTTATAACAATTTAGGGTGGTTAGAGTTTTCCCACGACGGCAGGAAGCCCGACAAGGTGGTTTTAGAGGGTCTGCTAATGTACGTCAGGTGAGAGACTTTGTATATCAGCATGGTGCTTTAGGTATTATGTTTCAATTATGTTTTGTCCATTCTCCCGTTAGAGGAGAAACATTTATACATGTATTGGGCCTAGGTTTTCCTGGGAAGGGTCGTCACCTACTCGGTCAATGGTGGTTTCTTGAATCTCTATTTCCTAGCGAGACGAGGCCAACTACTGATTCTGACTTCTCTCTGTCCAAGAAACATCTTTTCCCACATTTCCCGTATCAGGGCGAGAGGAAGGCACTGGGATCAAGGTGATACCTCTTTAAAGGCGCCATATGGCTGTCACCCTTCTTGGGAGTTGCATAGTTCTGACCCTTACCATGTCTCTTACAAATATAACACTACAAAATCGATAATTTTGGCAATGAATCTGATATACCATGTATTTCATCTAGCAATGACACATATGCGTGGATTATTGACTTTTCAATCTTACCACATGACACCGCGTTGAAATAATTTACTACAATCAGGTTGTTTTTATATTTAAATTTTAAAAAAAAAAATATTTTTTTAAGTTTACATCTTTTTTAATCAATATTTTAAAAAATAGAATCTAGAAATTGCTTTAAATGAGAAGAAGTTTGAGTAACTTGTTTAAAAATTTATTTTTGATAACCAACTTTTTCTATTAAAAATAATAATTTTACTATCATAAACAAATAAAAAATATTTTTTGATTTTTTAAATATTAAAAATTTATAATTTGTAACAAATTACCCATATTTCTTTGAAGTAATCTTAAAATATGTTAACAATTTCTAAGCAATACCCAAAGGCTATTTCTCCAATATGTACGGACATCTAAAAAAAGGCATAGGAAAAGGAAAGTGATTCTCACTTTGCCACCGACGGCTATGCTTCACCAATCAATCTAAAACATGTTTTCTACTGCCAAAACTTTATGTTTGAAATCCTAAGTTTTAAATAGGGTTTACTGATTTTTTTAATTGGTTTTTATTTATTTTTACTAATTTATAATTATTTATATTCTTTTAAGTAATGTTATGGCATTTTCCGTGTCCCCGGGTCGATATTACCTATTTTTGTAAACTTTGATTTGCAACAAATATAACAATACTTTTTCACAATGATTATGAGTGTCATTTTTAATAAAAAATGTTATTTTAAAAGGAATGTCAATTTATTTTTAATATATAATTAATTTTTCTACTGTACATTAATATTATGCACAATATTCTCAAAAAATATTATATTTTATTTTGTATTTATAGTAATGAAAAATAGATCCGTAGTCACTAAGGTTAGCTTGTGAATTAAGTCCACTAAAAAAGGTATATTTTAAGTAACACATTATGCTTTTTTTCTATTAAGGCAGCACTTGGAATTTGAAGAGCCTATTCTCAATTGAGATTAATTTAATAACCACTGTATTTGTATCTTAGAAAGCTTCTTTCTCAAGTAAACACATGTTTATATTATAATATCCCCAACTCATACCAATAGAAAAGAAAAAACATGACATGACCAAATTTTGCATAGTATCTATGTTTTTTTTCCATTAAAAATCTTAAATCTAGTTAGTAAGATGATGAGAGAGAGAGAGAAAATGACATCGGCATCATAATCCATTTCTTTAACTTTCTTTTTATTAATGAAGAATCTTTTCACCTAGTACTAGTAGAAGACCCGTGCGTCCGTACGGGTATAAGAAAAAGTATAATTTTATCGAATTTAAATTTCACAAGAAAAAGTATATTCAAATGTATATTAAGAGTAATATTTATGCAGATTTTTATTTATTTGAATCTAATTGATAGTATCTCGTGTAACTTTATGAAATATTTCAATCACGTTTTAAACATTATAGTAAAAATGTTGAAATACATAATTAAAATTTTAAACTTTTAATTTTTTAAAGTAATATTTATACATAATTTATTTTTTAAAGTAATAGAGTAACATACAATTTTATCGTAAACTTGTATGAAATAAAAAGATCAAAAAGAGAGAACGAAAGTATCTGTGCATTCGCACGGGTAAATGTTATTTTTGCAATTTAATAGTATAATGAAATGTAGTTTTAAAACTACAATTTAATTTGAAGTAAAACAAATATTTTTTAAGAAATGTAGTTTTAAAACTACAATTTAATTTGAAGTAAAACAACAAGATCGTATATGATAATAAAAACCAAATAAGTCTTGATCCATTATTTATATTAAATTTTAACTTTAAAAATTGAAATATGTGAAAAGAAAATAAGTAAGAGGTCAACAATGTTGTCAAATGGTGCCGTTCATATAACATTTATTTGTGGTTGCTGTTTCAATTATGTTTAATCAAGTAATGGTAATATCTTAAAACAAAGTAAAAATGTAATTGAAAAATGTTCCACGTTATAACGGTTGATTAACTAAAATTAATACTCTATCATACATCTAAAATAATAATGAAATTATCTTCATGCCTTTTAGCATTGAATCACTTTCCAATAACACAGAATTTTCAGCAGCATGTTAGTTTTTCAGAAAAATAATGTTAAATCTATATTTGTTGAGTTAAACAGAAAACAGTATCAAAGTAACACCATCCATGTTACTTCATTGAAATTCTAAGCTAAAATGACATGAATCACTTTCATGTTGAATATAGATATTTTTAATAATCATGTGGTAGGCAGTCAAATACAGTTAAAACCATATAATTCCAAGTAAGACACTTCCATAAATGATATTACATAAACATTAGCATGCTTGGTCCATAAAATTGGTGAGCAGTTAATTACTTTTAATAGCATGTTTCTATAACATTTACAACAATAGATACTTTTCAGTAGCATGTTAGTTCATAAAATTATGCTAAATTCATAGTTCTTGAACCAAAATAATGCAGGAACTAAAATATATTCGTGCTTTAAATTGGTGCTTACACTATAATCTATAAATAGACGCAGTTGTTCATGTCGACTACAACAATGATGCCTGATTCGATTCAGACGCAGCTTGGTGCAAGATTTTGCATTTCGGCCAATGTCATTGCGCACAGTTGCATTTCTATCTTCCGTGATAAAGTGGTTATCATCGAGATCTCCCGTGAAACTTCCTATTATGATTCATATATAGGAAATTTACCATCAAGCTTCATAGCTAGCTAGCTCACTAACAAAACGATCATACTTATTTTCATATGATCAGTAGCACTAACAAAATGACAGAGAAGTAGCAGTAAACTCATCATCACCTGATATTGGTTTTAGTAACCAACAATGGTATTACCACATGCTAGTGCTGGTCCAACTTTCCAAGTGAACATAAGTAGAGGAAAATTTCAAGGTATAATTTGTCCTGCTACACCAATTGGTTCATGCAATGGCTGGACATGATAATCTCCATCAGCTGGGACTGTCATCCCATGAATTTTATCAGCCCACCCTGTAAGAACCGCGGTATTAACAACAAATTCATTAGAACAATTTAAAAAGGATTATTGACATAAGGAACATGTAGTTGTTGTTACTGATAGTATCAGCATAATAGCGAAATAAGCGCACAACCATAGGTATTTCAGTCTTGGCAGCCTGATTATAAAGCTTTCCATTGTTCCATGTCTCCAGAGCTGCAATCTCATCATTATGCTTTTCAATCAAATCAGCAAAGCACAACAATATGCGACTTCTTTCCTGAAGGTGTCATCAAATATCATCATCATTATAAAGATATTGAGGTAATACAAAACCTGATTAATAAAGAATCAAACTTGGACATTGATGTCTCTTCCTGCGACTAAAAAGCCCATTGGCTGTAAATGAGTGTTCAGAGTCAAAGAAAATTCGAATGGCTCAGTCAACAAGTACAAGGCCAGACTTGTTGCTAAGTGTTTTCATCAACAGGCTGGTAGTGAATATAGTGAGACATTCTCTCATGTAGTGAAACCTGTCACTGTCAGAACTATTCTAACACTTGCAGATACAAATAACTAGAGTATTCAACAAATTGATGTAAATAATGTCTTTCTTAATGACATACTTGAGGAAGATGTTTATATGCAACAACCCCCTGGTTTTGATTCAGCTGATTAGTCATTGGCCTGCAAGTTAAACAAGGCACTATATGGCCTTAAACAGGGCCTTGTTTGAAATGTTAAAAAGCTCTCTGATACAACTTGGGTTTTGGGCCAGCAAGTGTGATCCCAATTTATTTATGCTTCACTCTAACACCTTATCTATTATGGTCCTAGTCTATGTTGATGATATCATCATCACTAGAAATTCATCATCATTTATAGACAAACTCATCACAGAGCTAAATACTAAGTTCGCCGTAGCCCATATATACCAAAAATATGCTACTGAAACTCAAGAGATACATAAAATGGGAAACATAATATGGCAGAATAGCAAGGAGAGAAAATTTAGAGGAATGGGGAAACAGATATTTACCAGTAGACTTGCTTCCTTTCCTTTCAAGTAAATAGTGCCAGGTTGACTCTACTAGAAATCAAATCACCCCAACAGGAGTGAGGCTCTCACTTTCCAGTTGTATAGCTGAACAATCAAGTAGATAGTGACCTGGCATGTCCATTGAAGCCCTCGCCGATCCAGCTATTCCCAGCTTCCTTGACCAACCCTTTTGTCCTCATTATGCTTCTCAGTTCATCAACACAATCCCACCTACCAATGGCTGCATAAAAGTTTGATACAAGCACAATATTGCTAGCTTTGTCGGGTTCCAACAGCAAGAGATGCTTTGCAGCAAACTCGCCTCTTTCAAAATCTTGACTGAGACTGCAAGCATTCAACAATGCTATCCATACTCCTGCAGTAGGTTTAGTACCCTGCTCAATCATATTTTGATAAGCAGACCATACTTCTTCTATATTACCGGCTCGGCCTAAAACATCTATGAAGCAAGCATAGTGTTCCGGTTCTGGTACAATGCCATATTTCTCCCTCATCACATTGAAACATTTTTTTCCTTCCTCCACCATCCCAGAATGATCACAAGCTGATAAAACAGATAAAAAAGTCACAGAATTCGGCAACACCTCACTCCCATCCTCCCTCATATTCTGAAAGAGCATGATAGCTTCATCTCCACACCCATTTCTTCCATACGCATCAATCATACAAGTCCATGAAATCACATCCTTTCGACGAATTCCATCAAACACTGAGCGGGCAAGTGAAATCTTCCCACATTTTGCATACATATCCAACAGTACATTACATAATTGGGTATCAAAAGTAAAACCCCAACGAACCGCAACACAATGCACCTGTTTCCCCGTAACCAAATCCAATTTCTCAGAGCAACTGACCAAAACACTAGTGAATGCAACAACATTGGGCTTCACCAAGCTCATAACTTTAAACGCCTCGGCATATCTCCCATTTCTAATACACCCAGAAACCAACGAATTATGCATCATATCATCTTTCCAACCATTCAAACTGTAAAAAACATTCAAAGCATGATCAACACACCCAACACTAGAATAAAAATCAACAAGAGCAGTACTCAAAACAACCAAATCACGCCCCATTGAAACCACCAAACCATGAACCTGTCTACCAAGTTCCAAAGCCTTCAAAGAAGCACAAGACTTCAAAACAGAGCACAATGTAAACTCACTAAGCTCAACATTCTCTCTCCTCATTTCCCTTAGAACACCAATGGTTTCCCGAGGTTGACCGCACCGCAAGAAACAAGAAAGCAAAGCGTTCCAAGCAACAACATCCCTGTGAAGCATTTCATCAAACACCTTAAGGGAGTCATCCAATGAGCCGTGCCTTGAATACATATCAAGGAGTGCGGTTTTTGGAACAGTTCCGGAGTCTGCACCTGTTCTGATCATCTGTGCGTGGAATTGTTTACCGAGTGATGGAGAAGATGGACGTAAGAGAGGGGTGAATGTGTGAGCATCGATGTCGGAACGTAAACGACGGAGAGAGCGAAAGAGGTTCCAAGCGGAGATGGGTTGAGCTCGGCGAACGTAGGAGTTGATGAGGGAGTTTAGTTCGGAAATGGGTCGGTGGAGGAGTTGGTGGTGGTCGGAGAGAGAGTGAAAGTGAGATAAACAATTCGATGTTAATGTTAATGGCCGCATCAGTATCTTCTTCTGAGGCGAATGCCAATAGTATACTCCTACCATTTATAAAACAATTATTGCATTTAATTACTTAACTTGTGTTTTTAGGAATACAAACAATGAACAAAATCAAAGCTTAACAGGACCTATGACATGTCATAACACATATTACCAGACTCAAAATGTATCAACTTGATGGAGATAAGATTCACATAGATGAGAAAATAATATGCAGCATTATTGAACATCATGTCTATAGTTACTCATGCTTTTAAATTGTTTCCCTATTAAATTATAAATTTATACTTTATATTAACATTAACTTTATAGGAAAGGACAGAGAATCCAATTCATATGGCTCACACAAGCAAGAAAAAAATGATTAAAAATGTTTCTTCAACCCATCTTTTGAACCATGTGTGTGTGTCACCTTTCTAATTATTCTAGTTATTTTTTAACCCTAGTTCTTCCTTTTCAAACTTATAAAAATAGTGAGACTATTTTAGGTAATTGATGAAAGCATGAGAACTAAATAGTGGTATTAAAGAAATTGCTAATTGCAAGATTAGGTAACTATAAACTTTATGGTTCACACAAAAGGTTTAAAAGCTGTTTAGCACAAATAGCTATCAGTTTGTAGCTAGATCTATATTGGAATAAATTAATCACTAACTAGTATTTGTAAGGAAATAGGATTATGTAAAGAATTTAATTGAAATATATTTACAGTGTGAAAGAATTTTACACTGAGATTTTTGAAAAGTTTTGATTTTATTTCAATCATCTATAAAGTAATATAAATGGATGATGTTGATGAATTGACAGTGTATAATAATTAATCTCTTATGTAAACTAACACGAAATGAACTATTTTGAATTTAAATATGAATCAGCATAAAAACAATATTTAATTATACAATGTTAATATTATTGTTGTAAAGGTGCCTTAAAACCTTTGTTGATGAAAAGAAAGAAAACATATTTTGGAGATTTCATTTACCGCAAAAATCGGACGAAAAGTCGAGAGAGGAAAAAAGTTTCGGGCGGTGAATAGTACCGTCCGTACGGTAAATAGTGACGTCCATATGGTGAATAGTGGTGTCCGTACGGTGAATAGTATTTTTGAGTTTACGGACTTTTTTCGATTCGGTCCACGGATACATGTGATTTTGGACTTTGTTTGTTGGGTATTTGTTATTATAAATATGTATCTCTTATATGTTTGGTGTGTGACAATCTTAGGGTGTGTTTGGTTCGGGGTAGATGGAGGGGAGGGGAGGGGAAATTTTTAATTAAATATGTTTGGTTCAAATTTTAGGAGGGGATGGGAGGGGAGGGGAGCAAAATCCCTCCAAAACACACCTTTTGGTTCCCTCCGAATTGGGGGATTTGGAGGGGAGGGGAGGGAATATGAATTTTGATATTTAAAAATTATTATATTTACTAAAATATCCTCAGTTTAATTTTATTATTTCAAAACTATTTGTTATCTTTTGTGTTACTGTTTTTTCTCGATTGTTTTCATCAACTTATTATAATTGTTCTCCACCTTCAAATTATTTTATAATTTTTATAATTAATATAAATCATAATCATTGTCTTTTTTTTATAAAAAAAATTATGTTTCGTTATATTCGTTTTTTTTCTTTTAATTTTGTTATGTACTCTATCATATTTTCTTTTATATCAAATTGTAAACCATATCATTTTATTTATTTTTGTTTATTCATTTTATTAAATATTTTGAACCATTAATATTTAGTAATAAGTTATTTTATATATTTGTTTTATTATATGATTCATCATAATTTAAACGATGTTATTGGCATATAGTTTAATTTATGTTGGAAAGTTATAAGTCGAATCGATTGTACTCAATTTTTTAACTTTATGTGACAAATAAATATTTTTTTAATCACTCAATATTAGAAATTTTATTACCAACAAAAATACGCACGAATTTTTCACATTTTAATATCATATGACTTATATAAAATCATAAGGATAAAAATGTAAATTATTAATAAAACTCCTCCCCTCCCCTTCTGAACCAAACACATTTTTAATTAAAATCCCTCCCCTCCACTCTTTTGAACCAAACACTTATTTGATTAAAAAATTCTTTCACCTCCCCTCCCCTCCCCTCCCCCTCATTTGAACCAAACAAACCCTTAGAGTTTACACCAATAAAGGAGAGTAAGGGTTTAAAGGTATAGCATAGGGTTTCAATTATGCACAAAGAAAATCTTGGATTATACCTTAGGTTTGAGTGATTCATATATTGAGAGTTGGAGAGGTAGGGAAACACTTGGGTAGAAAATATGGTTGTTCTTGCGCGCCTTCAGGGTTGTTCTTGGGAACCTGAAGGTGAAGACTATTTTCTTGTAACTCATTTGTAATCTCTTGTAACAACTTTCTGAGTATTGTGAAACGGAGAGTTGCTTTCTCCCCTAGAGTAGATCGTTTGATCGAACTGGGTAAACAAACCTTTGGGTTTTTTCTTGCCTTATTTTGTTATATTATCTGTGTAGGCATTATTTTTGCTGTAGACCATTTATTTTGGTAGTTTTTTTTTTTGCCTCACAAATTGATATTGAATTTTATCACCATTCACAAAAAGATTCACAACAAGTGGTGCGGTGAGCGTGAAGCAAAGAGATATTGTTGACAAGTGAGCACCATGGTTAGTAGATGGAAGATCGAGAAATTTTCCGGTAACAACGACTTCAGGTTGTGGAAAATTAAGATGCAAGCAATTTTAATTCAAGAGAAGTGTATTGATGCATTGAAGAGTGAAACATTGATGTCTGCATGGCTTACACAGGTACAGAAGACAAAGATGGTGGATAAGGACAGGAGTGTCATTATCTTGTGCCTCGAGGATAAAGTTCTAAGACAAGTCGCCAGGGAGCAAACTGCGGTTGCAATGTGGGCAAAACTTGAATCATTGTATATGACAAATTCTTTGCCTAACAGGTTATATCTGAAACAACAACTCTATTCATTTCGAATGGTGGAGAACAAATCCATAGTTGAGCAGCTCACAAAATTTCACAAGATTATCGATGATCTTGAGAATATTGAAGTGAAGATTGATGATGAGGACAAGGTTTTGCTCTTGTTGAGTTGATTACCCAGGTCCTTTGAGCACTTTAAGGATTCCCTTATTTATGGTAAGGAAGGTACTATTACTTTGGATGAAGTCCAGACGGCAGTGAAGTCCAAAGAATTTTCGAAGTCGAAAGATTTGAAGATTGAAGATAGTGGTGAAGGCTTAAATGTGGCAAGAGGAGGAGGTGAGCATAAAGGGATGTCCAAATCAAAGAGGTCTGACAAGTCAAAGGTAAAATGTTTTAATTGTCAGAAAATCTGTCACTTTAAAAGGGATTGTCCTGAAAGAAAGGTCAATGAAGATTATGTTCAAGTTGTAGTTGCATTGGGTGAGAAAAGTTATGAGGATGCCGAAGCACTAGTAGTATCGAGTTTGGAAATTGAAGATAGTTTGGTTATTGACTCGGGTTGCTCTTATCACATTTTCCCATAATAGAATGCTTTGAAACTTTGAAGATGGTGCAAGGTGGAGTAGTTCGCCTTGGTAATAATAAGGCATGCAAGGTTCATGGTATTGGTACGGTCAGATTTAAAATGTTTAATGATTGTGAACTTCTTATTCATAATGTGAGGTATGTTCCCGAACTCAAGCAAAAAAATTTATCTATAAGTATGTTTGATGATCTAGGCTATTGTACTAGAGTTGAACGTGGAGTGTTGAAGATTTTGCGTGATGAATTGATTATTGTTAAAGGGTCTAAAATATGTGGTCTATATATTTTAGAAGATTCAAATGTTATTATTCATTCATTGTTAACTAGTGGAAACTTTCATGACAAGGAAGAGATATGGGATTTGAGTTTAAGGCGTTATGAATGCCTTGAGAAAGTTTCAGAGGAGTACAATAAATTTTGCAGAAATCAAGGGATAAAAATGCATGTTACCGCTGAGTTGTTATTGAGTTTTTGGGGAAGAGTTGAGGTTAAAACATCTTACTTGGTTGGTGGAGAATTTCTTCAGAAGAAGAATAGTGAAAACCAAGGGAGAAACCTGGGAGAAACTATAACAGAGAAAACTCAGTTTGAGGTAGAGTTTCCTACTATGGATGCTAGTAATAGTGAGGGAACGGTTATAGAGATCTCTGATTATCATTTGACTCATGATAAGGCAAGGAGGGTTATTGTAGCATCTCAAAGGGACGGTTATGCTAACCTTGGATATTATGTTTTTAATGTGGCTGAAGGACTGTAAAATAAAAGAAGAAAAACCTTCAAGGAGACATTTGAAAACAGGTGGAGTCAATGGTGGTTGAAAAATCATATTTGTAGGCTTAATAAATTACCTAGGAAAAAAAGGGTAATTGAGAATAAGTGGATTCAACTTGTGAGATCAAGATTCAAGGGTTGCTTGAATTTGTTCAAAGTTATTGATTAAAGTTTCAACTTGGTAGAGAGCAGCAATGTTGTTGATTGTTAAATTAGTGTCAACACGGTTTAAAGTCAAGGTGGAGATTGTTGTAAATGTGGCTTAAAACTTTTATTGATGAAGAGAAAGAAAATATATTTTGGAGATTACATTTACCGCGAAAATCGGACGAAAAGTCGAGAAGAAAGGAAAAAATATTTGGGCAGTGAATAGTATCATCCGCACGGTGAATAGTGACACCTGTATGGTGAATAGTAATGTGTATATGGTGAATAATGACGTTTGTACGGTGAATAGTGTTTTCGGGTTTTCAGACTTTTTTTGATTCGGTCCATGGATCCATGTGATTTTGGGCTTTGTTTGTTGAGTATTTGTTATTATAAATATGTATCTCTTATATGTTTGGTGTGTGATAATCTTAGAGTTTACACCAATAAGGGAGAGTAAAAGTTTAAAGGTATAGCATAGGGTTTCAGTTATGCACAAAGAAAATTTTGGATTACAACTTTGGTTTGAGTGATTCATATATTGAGAGTTGAAGAGGTAGGGAAACACGACAAAGACTATTTTCTTGTAACTCATATGTA